CCACTGGCCCAAAAGGAAACAAATCTCAATAAAGCACCACAGAAGCTCAAGCCATCCCGGTAATGCCAGGTTTGCATCATGCAGCCCGTCTGCACACCTGTGAACATAGCAATCGTTAATTAAATGCTACCTTAGGCCAGGAGAGCTTGCAGGTTTGCAGTCATGCTTTAGAGATCTTGGGGGTGCCTGACATTCAACACCGGGCATGTGTCCATTTTACAGATGAGACAAGTGAAACCGGACGGGGGGGTATGGAAACAAAGTGACGTGTCCTCTCGGATCAGCGGAGACGGAGTTAGCTGGGCCAGCCGAGTCAGCTCTTCACCTTAGTTTTTTTAGAGAAACACCTTTGAGGATTTGGTGGCTAAGTGTGTTGAATGTCCATCAATAGTTTAAGTCAAAAGAGAAGAACTGGGCTAATGTGTTTGAAGTTAATGATTCAACTGTCCAGGTTTAGCTCTTTCAGTGCATTTATAATGATCATCTCATCTTGGATGCTTAGTTGGCTTGTGACTTTCTGGGCCTCCTTTTTTTTTTGACTCCAGAGTCATTCCCTCTCAATTACAATATTACATTTTCTTGATCTTCCTCCTGAAAAAAATTTTTAAGTAAGAAAAACACTTCTGGATATTTTGTCTGCTTTTTAGGGATTAGTGTTTGAGGAGGTCTGCAGCTGTTCAGCACATGCCTCAGGGATTCAGACCCTTTTCTGTAAAGGCCCAAGTGTCACACAACCTGACTCCGGGGGCGGGGTAGGTAAAGAAACTGTACAAACAAGTGATAGATGGAAAAGATATAGAGACAAATTTCAGTCTCCTGACCAAACGAAGCTCCCTTGGCTCCAGCAGCCCCAAATAAAATCAAGCTGCAAAGCTGCTGAAGCAGGAAACCACTCTAGCAGAACCTTAATATGCTCCCTATGAAATCACGTCTCGTTGACTTGCTCGTTTTCCAGCCTGAAGTGTGTTTCGCCTTTGTTCGTGTTGGCTGGGAAAATCATCTCTACAGCAGAGTTGTGTTCCCCTCCTTCCCCATGCCCCACACCTCTCCCACATCACGATCCCAAAATAAATAAATGAATTAATTAAAACACCTCTGCTGGAAGGAGAAATAAGTCCAAAGGCATACAAACTCAAAGAACCAAAAATATTATATGAAAGCTACATTAATAATAAAAGAGAGTGGGAAATCCTGGGAGAAACAGACAGCGGAGTCTAATATTATTTTGTTTTAGGGCCAGACTCCTTTTTTAAAACAAAAATTTTACACAGAGCTCTCATATATGCAGCAGATTAAAGCAGTGTTTTATTGGTGTAAATCTAACTTTTGAAATACCAATTTATAATCAGTAGGAACTGTGAAGCTGGGTTTATGAACTCCGATTATGAATCAGAGTTACAGGTTTATATCAGTTTCAGCATCAAAGTTATTTTAGGTTCTGGTTTGTGTTGTTCGCCGTCAAGAAATCCTGACTCACACAGATGAGTTGTCATAATCTTGAGATAGTTTTAAATTGATTTAGATGCTTGAAAAAAAAAGGATGGTTTTTGTTTTAAATTTGAATCACTGACATTACCTAGAAGCTATTCCCATTCTCCTTCATCAATATTAACTGGATAAATGGAAATGTTTAATAAACTTTACAATAGTTGATAATGAAGTGAGACGATGTTGAGCGTGTTTATCCTCATTACCCAGCCGTGGTCTGTCATGAGCCCCGCAGAGGCCCCCGCGCCTTCTGTGGCGTGCGGTTGAACTTGGCCACTGTGTGTCAACTCGTGTGCTCACCTCAACAGCTTTACCCAAGGAGACACATAGGTTGAATTAAAAACTAAACCCGTACAGAGCAACATTCATTCTAATCAATAACATATTTTTCAACAGTCTGGACCCATACATTGATTCTTTATTCCAAAACACGCATGTAACAAAGCTCGCCTGGGCAGCCCATGAGACATGGGTGGAGTCTGCTGCAGGGAAACTGGGTCCCAGGCCCCTTGAATATTTCAGTAGAGGTTGCTCATTTGAATGGGTGTATTACAGTTCTTTGAAATTGAAATGTAATGTTCTGTAATTCCAACATTTCTCAGAATGCTTTATTAAAGGTCCTACTCACTGAAAGTGATCATGGCTGTCCCACTGCATGGTATAAGAATGGAAATAAATACATGTGGTAAAAATATTGATACTTGTAGCACCTTAGAAGTTCTTAATAAGTATAAATTTATGAGTGGTAAGTGACAAGGCATTTTAAAAGATTCCCACTTCTTCCCATCCTTTTTAATGTCTTTGTTTACCCGAGGCTCTGCATCCTTTTCCATGGTACTGGGCTGGTTTCGCCTCTCCTGCCTCCACCTGTGATCTGTGATGGATTCAGTACATGGGTGCACTAGCTGGCTGTTTGTGCCTCTAACCTTCTGTGATATTATAGGTCTTGCTTTGTTTCCCAGCTGTATTGTGATAGCAGCACTTTTGTAACCAGTAAAGCCCCTACTACTATACTTCGTTCATTTAAAACACAAATGTTTGTACACTTATAAATTTGAATTTTAGCATTGTTTTTATGTGTGTAGACTGCCATAGAGAACAAAGAGGGACCACCAGCCCACAAGGAACAGATTGAAACCAGTTGTAAAGTTAAGGTCGTGTGAGAGCTGCGCCTTTAAAAAGTGTGCATATTTGTGTGGTATATTCCATGCTTACTGAGGACATGGATGTCTTGCCACCCAGTAAAAATTAGGTTATTTAGGATTTCGTAACCGAGGCTGATTTAGAATCAGTTTGAAAGTTCTCTTGCAGTGGAAACATCAAATGTTGCTGAATGTCTGTGCTCTGATCTCACTGTTTTGAATTTAGGATTGTTTCCTATTTACCTCTTTTTTGTCCCCAGGCGCTAGGAATTTTGAAAGGATTGAACTAATTACATGTATCTCTCTCTCTTAGCTAGTATATATTTTTAATTTCCATAGAAATCTTTTAATTTTCCTAGAAAGTGGATGCTCTTGTTACCACAGTCATCAGCACATACATGTTAGGGGTTTTGACCACAGAAGCATGGTGCCTGGGGCAGGGGGTGAGGGTAGAGAGCAGGTATAAAAGTAGTTTCATACTGTTCATGGGGTTCTCAAGGCAAGAATACTGAAGGGGTTTGCCATTCCCTTCTCCAGTGCAAGCTCCGGGAGTTGGTGATGGACAGGGATGCCTGGCGTGCTGTAGTCCCTGGGGTTGCAAAGAGTCGGACACAACTGAGCGACTGAACTGACTGAACTGATAAAGCAGTTTCAGCTTGGACTCTTAATATTCATTGGTTTGGAGCAGCCTCTTGGTACTATTTAGACAGGTATTTTGATTTAATGGTCTTTTCAGAAGCCAGAGTAGGTGTGGTGTGATTGTTAATAGTTACCTCTTCTGAATTGAAAGAGCTCTTCTAAGTTGAATTCTGTCCTACAAGTCACAGGTTCCTGGCGCAGGAAGAGAGGCAGTGCAGACTCGATAACCGAGCCATTCACAGCTTGCTTTTTTTGCTTTAAGAGTCTGACTGTAGGGAGGCAGGAGCGAAAATGGGGACAAACAAGGTGTGATATTTTCCAGTGATTAAGAGCATTCTCTTTGCAATTACAGGGCTTCTTCTTGAATTCCAGCATTGCCACTTTTTAGCTGTATGAACTTGAATAAGATATTGTAACCCTTCTTAGTCCAGCTTTTCCTCATCTGCTGAATGTGGTTGATAACCCTCACTTTGTCAGGTTTTGTAGGGTTCAAATTAAACAACATAAGTACAGGGCCTAGCCATGTGCCAAGTACACAGTAAGCTCTTGATAAATAACCCTTTCCTTCTGTTTCTTTCCTTAAAGAAATCCACATTACAGATGCAAAACTTTCTGTTGCTTAAATTAGTGCTGGGAGCTGATTATCGAATCAATAACTGTTTTCGATCACATCCTTTTCAGTAGAATGAGCATCTAGGTTTAGTGTTTTACTGCTCCACTCAGGCTGTTAACATCTTCACAATACACGGTTCAGATACCAGTTTATGCTCTTGGTTGTATGGGGCATGAGAAAATGGCTCAGTCAATGAAATCAAACCTCCCTGGATGCGTTCTGTGGGACTGAAGAATTTTCAGTGACTTTTTCATGGCAAATGTGTCCACAGTTGTCTTCATTGAATCCTGTGAGAGAGAAATGTGAGGGATTTATAGTCTGTAGCTTAAATTTTGTCTAGAGACTAACTTTTGCCTGTAATCCTAGACACAAACCAAATATTGTAGTGGTTGAGGTCATGGAATTTGGAGTCAGACCTCCTAGAATCATTCTAGTCAGCAGAGAACTGTGGTCTGGTCCCTGACTCCCTTTTACTGTCTCTGTGACTCCTTACTAGCTGTGGGCAAGTGACAACTCTCTGTGTTGTTTGTTTGTTTTTTTTAATTACTGAAATGAGGATAATAGTAATTTTTTTCTGACAGCAAGATGATGGAGCTTAGATGGGATAATGTATGTAAAGCTTTTACTAAGTTTCTAGAACACACAGGTGTGGATGCTAAGTCACTTCCGTTATGCCAGACTCTGCGACCACATGGACTGTAGCCCACCAGGCTCCTCTGTCCTTGGGATTCTCTAGGCAAGAATACTGGAGAGGGTCGCCATTTCCTCTTTCAGGAAATTCCTGACCCAGGGATCAAACCCGTGTCTCTGTGTCTCTTGCATTGGCAGTCAGGTTCTTTACCAGTAGGGCCACCTTCTAGAACATAATAGATGCTCCATAGATAATCCTACTTCTCATCTTTCCCTCTTCCTATCACCACCTTCTCCTTCTTATTTTCTCCCTTTTTCCTCCACTGAGTTTTCAGAAGAAGAGAAAACTAGAGGTGCAGCTTCAGGAAAGACATCTTTACTTCCGGCTTGGCTCTGATTGCTATGATTTTGTGACATGGACTATAGTCAGAGATGTTGACCCTGCCTGTTTACCAATGCCTACTTGTTTTCTTGCCGTTTCTCTGCAGGAAGGATCAGAATGTTCTCTCTCCAGTCAACTGCTGGAATCTCCTCTTAAACCAGGTGAAGCGGGAGAGCAGGGACCACACCACGCTGAGTGACATCTACCTGAATAATATCATTCCTCGATTTGTCCAAGTCAGCGAAGACTCAGGAAGACTCTTTAAAAAGGTAAATAGGCTATTTCTAACCACAGACACCATCTTGTAAATAAGAGAAAGAACATCTTATTGGCCCACTTAAAAGGCTTTCCATGGGTCTTGCCCTACCATGTACTTATGGAGAGAAAACATTGAATTGGCTCTTTTTCTTCCTTTCTCAGATGAATTTATAGTAGCCCTGGGAAAAGAACCATTTGCAAGGCACAACCCCAGGTCTGGCAGCATAATTCATAATTTGTGAATATTAGTAATGACCATATTTGGTTAACTTCCTAAGTGATTTGTGAAGCTATTGAGATTCAGAGATGTTCTGTGTTGTTTTATGATTTCCTCTTCTAGTTCATTTAGCACATCCATGTCTGTTTATGTTTTTAGTTTAGTTCTACTTTCAAGTTCTCATCTTATCCAAGGTGAACTCATGAATTTGGTTATTATTCTCATCATGACATATCTTTGTCTTTGGTCCCTGAATGCATTTTTGGGGGTTGTTTTTTTTCATTTGTTTTGATGCTCCCAGGTGGAACTTGAACCCACCTCTCAATGTTTTCTAAAGCTCAGTTGTTTGTGATAATCTTAGGAAATTTGTGCCAAATTCACCTGTCAGTAGTGGAACAAAGCTTTTGGAAACCCAGGAAGCTCTTTTCTAAGCTCTCTCAACCTGAGCTCTTAATGGCGTCATTTATTCATAACTTTTGGTTACAAATGGTGGCAAATACCCCAGCTATTGTACTTGATGTACCATGTCTAACTTTCAAGCTCTGACATTTCCAAAAGATTTTTTTTATTTTTTTTCCATTTATTTTTATTAGTTGGAGGCTAATTACTTTACAATATTGTAGTGGTTTTTGCCATACATTGACATGAATCGGCCATGGATTTACATGTATTCCGCATCCCGATTCCCCCTCCCACCTCCCTCTCCACCCGATCCCTCTGGGTCTTCCCAGTGCACCAGCCCCGAGCACTTGTCTCATGCATCCAAAAGATTTTTTAGAAGGTGAATAACCTTCCCACAAGTGGTATGTAGAAAGAGGATATATTTATATAGAGGAGTATCATTGGTTTCATACATAGGGAATTCACTGGTTTCCCATTGACAAAATCAGTGTTAAAATTTGAGGCTGGGGGAGAATGGACTTCGGTAAATAAGACTATGGTCCATAGTAGACTTAGCTCTTGGTCAGTTTTCTGATTCTTAACATAAGGAAGTATACAGATCTCAGTAGGTCTGGAATTAGAATCCAATTTCTTCTTTTTTTTTTTTACCAGCATAAAAAAAGAACTGCTTTAGAATTGTCCATCTACATAATTGCATCTGTGAAGGGGCTTTCCCTTGTGTCATACAGATAGGATATTAACGCTACAATCATCTGAGAATGAAAGAAGGAAGAGAAAGATAACTCCTTGCAGAGCTCATGGCTATTTTTAGTGGCCCGGCTGTGCTGTGGTTGGGGCCATACTTCATTTAGGGGCGAGGGTACTTTTCACCATCTCCTCATGCTTCCTAGCATCTGCTCCAGCTTGCTTGTCATTAACTTGAATTATTCTATAACATTTGGTGACATTGTATGTGACTAAAATTAAAGACTATAGTTAATAATACTGTATTCAATACTGGAACACTGCTAAGAGAGTAGCTTTCACAGGCTCTTTTCATACACACAAAAAAGGTAACTGTGTGATGAGATGACATATTATCCTGATTGTAGTAATCATTTCACTCTTATGTGTATACTAAATCATTTTATACACCTGAAATATGTAGAATTTTTATTAAAAAATATTTTTAAACCTTAGATGGAACCAGTGATCAGATACCACTTCTCTACCATCTTGACAGACACTTAGACCATCTCGAGAAGAAAAGGGGTTGATGGATAGTATCCTCCTCTATTTCTTCTGTTCATCTGAGAAGAAATTTTTATTAGAGATGTTTAGCTATCTGTACTTCACCCCATCTCTCAGCTCGCTTTTCTCCAGTTTCAGAAGGTTAGAGAAGAACCAAGCTGAGAGGATCTTATAACCCCTCCAGATTTTAGAGATGTTTATGCCAAAGGCAGTCAGTTATCAAAGCCACAAGCGTCCCTGGCTCCGCAGATGCCATTCACGTTTCACCAAAGGCCTAAGCACATGGCATGTATATAAAACATGGTATGTATCCCCATCCACTCATGAATGATATTCCAACGTTTGTCTAAGCATTGGCCTCCTTAAGCAATGCATTTCTATGCTGAGGGTGTAAGGAAGAATTTCTAATTAATCACTGGATTGTTTATATATTACATTTCATTGAAGAAAAGTGAATATATCATCAGCTTAAAGCTGAATGCATTTGTATAAACTGAAAACACCTGGTAACCAGCTTCCAGATCAAGAAACAGAGTATTTCAGTCCCAGAAGTCCCCTCATGCTCCTTTCTTGTCACTAAGGGATTGGGAGGGGTGTCCCCAGTCCCTCAGAATAGTGTCACTCCTGACTTTTCACAGCAGAGATTAGTTTTGCTCAGTTTCATACTTTATATAAATAGAATCGTGCAGTGTGTACTCTTTTGTGTCTGGTTTTTCTCATTCAACATTGTATTTGTGAGATTTGTACATATTGTTGTAGGTAGTTGTAGATCATAGGACTTTCTCTTGATCCTTGTAACTTTCCATCAGTTAAATTATAGTGGATTAGAGATATCCTTAGGATTGTCAAATAACCAATGTTTACCATCCCACAGGGTGAATAACCTCTTTTCTCTCTCCCCTGGGGTCCAGTATAGGCAGAGAACTCTAAGGTAGAAGCTAGCTTGGCTGATCCTAAGAATAGATTAATTCTGTTTGGATGAGAACTCCTCTGCTTTCTAGTAATGGGCAAAGAAGCAGTTTCTCTCCATACCTGACATTTTCAGTCTCCTTTGTTTAGAGTGTGTTGCACATGAAGAATTAGGATCCCACAGGTTGAGCTATAGTAATCGGATAAGAGAACCAAGGAGTGTCCCTGGCCACCCTCGGAGTTACGTGAAGCTTCTTGGGTCTTGCTTTATGCTCTTAAAGCAGAGCCCTTCCCCAAGAGATTCTTTCTCTTGGGCTCAGCTTAGCCAGTAACTCTGAAACTCTGGACAATTAACCTTCTTTTTTCTCTGCCTTAGTTCTCCCAAGTTTAAAGAAAACTGAGCTATAGGTTCTTCATTCTGCCTTTGAAATCTAATGCACTGTAATTGTATGATGCCAAAGACATCCTACACTGAGGGCTTCCTTCTGGTTGTTGGGTGACCTTTGTTAAATTGTGATAAGGTAAGCTGCAATCCCTGAGATAAGGATGGACAAAAGTGAGTGTGGGTATAGAGAAGGGGCTCACTTAAGCAATGGAAGGCCACATTTCTTGAAAGATTGAAGTATTGTTTCAGATTCTTTTATCTACAATGGCCAGCATCCAAGAGATGCCACAGTGATATCCAAATGTCGAATAAATACACCTGTTATTTTACCTGTAAATTTGGTTCCAGTAGCAAAAGGAAAAACCCATATTTCTCTGGAGACACAAAGAAAATGTACCTTTATTTCTGGTTCAGCTGTGGACACCTGAAAATTTACCAGTATTTTATGTGAATTTGAATCTTCTGCTTGTCAATGGTAAAAGTCAGGGCTTTTCTTCCTGTAAAGAAATTTATTTTAATCTATAAGATTTAATGATTCTCTGGCAAAGAGAACCATTCTCTGATGGTTATAATCATCAAAACCAAGATTTTTGAACCCTTGTGTGCTAGGTACAGTATGCATTATCTTATTGAATCCTTACAACACTTCTATAAGGTAGTTATTACTATGACCCTTATTTTATGGAGGGAGAAACTGAGTCTTCAAGAGATTAAGCAAGAGAAGAAATGAGGCTGGTATTTAAACATAGCCATCAGGCTCTAGAACTCAAGGTTTTCCACATACGTGTTCTATTTGGCCTCTCTAGGTATTGTATGCAGAGTAGAGGGTAATCTGGATTTTCTTGCTCTTTTTCATTGAATCCAGATATCTCACTTAGTTACAGAATTAAACTAACCTTTTCTTCAGCTCACAACCCTTCAAAGGATCTGGAGGTGTTAAACATCAACATCCGGTTGCTTCTCCTGCCTGGTGTCTGGGCAAGCACCTGGTGTTGAAAGTGAAGTACAGCAGTGAGTTTTTCTCCCTAGGGGCAGAATCTCTAGTAAGAGGGAAACAAAGACTCATTAAAGACGAGAGCTGACCGAAAATCTGACTGGAAACTGACTCAGCTAATTCGGGGATGTCAGGGTGGCTGCACAATTGGCCCCTCTTTGCTCTGAACCCCCTTAAGGGATGCTCCCTGCTGGCCCTCTGGTTTGTGGTTATGTCTGCTGGGACGTATTTCACATGTTGCCTGAAGTCCTGGTAGAGATTCCTTTAGCTAAATATAACATGTAGAGAAAGTAGCCTCCTGTCCACAACTTAGAAACAGGCGCACTTTGTCTAAGACTCCAGGGGAAATTGAGCCCATTTGGTGCTCCTGACATCTCCTTTCATGTTATGAAAGCTTAGTCTGTCTAACCCCTGTTGGAACCGGGGTCTGGGCAAATATTATTGCTGCCACCTTCATTTGTTTAATGCAGTGGCTTAAAAAACGGGGGCCAAATTCTACCAACTCTGACTCTCAGCTCCATCTCGTCTCTGTGCGGGCCATGTCCTAAAGGATCCTACCAGGAAGAGAAATTGTTTCTCTCACTCTCTTAGTTTAAACTGAAATAAACTTGGATGTGCATTTTCCCACCGGGGAGAAGACCACCCTGTTCTCTCTCCCCCCCTCACTTAGCTGGGACACCCTAAACGTACCTCCCACTTGGCGTTTCCAGTCACACTTTCTAGCCCTTAACAGCTGTTTACTCTTAGGCTTGGAAGGCAGTCAGTTCAGACAGTGCTGAGACTGAATTTTATTCTGCCTATTATGGTATTTCAGGTAACTGTTTTATTACCCTACGGTTCTATGGCAGAAAGTCAGGTTAAATTGAGAAAGCTA